CTGTCTCTCTGTCTCTGTCTGTCTGTCTGGCAAGCGCACACGCCCTGTAGCAAAAACCTCTCCAGAAACAAAAGTTTACTACTGAAGCACGCACTGCATGTCTGGCTTCTTTTGTTCAACCTGTGGTTGGGAACTACACACATGCTGCGGTGTCCAGCTGTGATCCGTCCCCTTCACTGCCGTGTCACTTTCTACTGTGCGGGTGTTCCCTACCCATTTATCTACTCTACCACTGGCGACCCGTCGAATTATGAATAAAGCTGCAAGGCACACGTGTGCTGGTGCACAACTGCACGCATTTCCACTCACATACACCTCGGAGAGGAGGTGGGTGTTCACCGTTAGTAGATCATGCCACACGGTTTTCTTTTTTCCAAAAATCTATTCATTCATTTATTTTAATTTGACCAGAGAGAGAGAGAGAGAGAGAGAGAGAGAGAGAGAGAGAGAGAGAGAGAGAGAGAGAGAGAGAGAGAGAGAGAGAGAGAGAGAGAGAGAGAGAGAAAGAGACAGTGAGAAAGCAAGCGGCCAGGTCCGGGACTCAAACCGTGGTTAGCCATATGGGAGTGTCCAGCGCCCTAACCACCATGCCACCTGCTGGTCCCCTACACTGTTTTCTAAACTGGTCTTACCATCTCCACACTTATCAGTAGAAGGGGCGAGTCCCAGCACATGTCACCTCACCAAGATACTTGCGATGGTTAGTCTTTCAATTCTAGCCATTATAAGTGTAGAATGGTAACCAGTTGTGGTTTTTATTTGCAATTCCTTGACTGCTGATGACATGAAGTACTTTCTGTACATATGTTGATGAATCAAAAACCTTTTGCGGTGAAGTACAAATCTAGTTTTCTTCCTGTATTATCTTTCTTGTTGACTTATATTTTTAAAAAATTATTTTCTATATTTTATTATTATTATTTTAAAATTTGCTATAGGTCATGCACACTCACCAGAGAGAGAGAAAGTGAGAAAGGAAGCTGCCCAGTCTGGGACTCAAACTGCAGCTGGCTAGGTGGGAGTCCAGTGCCTTAACCATCATGTCACAGCTAGCCCCAACTTGTGGGGGCTTTAATATATTCAGAAATCTAGTCTTCCATTGGTTATACATGTTATGAATATCTGCTATTCAATAGCTTGTTTCTCACTTTTACTGAGTCTTCTGATAGAAATTCTTAATTTAAATGTACCCTACTTTATGCACCTCTTCCTATACGGTTAGTTGTTTTTTTTCCCTTATTTCAGAAACCCTCTCCTACTCTATGGGTATAATGATTTTCCTCTATGTTACCTTCTAGAAGCTTTATTCTGTTGCCTTTCACATTAACATCTACAAACTACCTGAACATTTTCTCTTTCTTTCTTTTTTTTTTTTTACTAGTTTTGCTATACATGCAGTTGCCAGGGTCAGGTGAGATATCACCCCCTGGGGAGAAAGTCATGCCACAGTCCCTTCTCCTCCATTCTCTCCTTGGGATTTTGGGCATGTACACGTGCTTTCAAGATGCTGGATCCAGGACTCGAACTGCAGTCAGCCATGTGGGATCTGGCCGCCTTAACCTCCACACCACCTGCTGACTCTGAGTTGCCAAGCTTGTTTCATAGCCACACTCCTCCACACTACCTTTTATTTATTCGCTTTTTAAATTTTAAACATCTCAGACATAATACCACTTCTCTTGTGAAGATTCCAGTATGCATCTTTGCAGAGATGGGCACGTTTTAAGAACAGAACCACAGTACCAGGGTCATGTAACAAGGTCAGACCGTGGTGAGGTGGCGCCTGCCTCGCTTAAGCCCGCGGTGCCATAAGTGGCCAGCACCCCAGGTGAAAGCCCGTGCTCTCTGCTGCTCTGTCATCAGCAGGTGCCCACTCTCCTCTGCCACGCCTGTGAAACCGTGTCTGCCTCACGAGGAGCTCTGACACCCAGGAAGGTCCTCCTCGACCTCCTCTGTCTCGGGCATCCCGGCGAGGGTCAGTGCTTTAATTTCCTCCATGTGACACCTTGACCGGTTTCAATTCACAAAACAGAATATTTTTTAGGTCTATTTTTCTGAACAACCTCTTGTAGTGTCCTATGGAGATATTCTGTACATTCCCTTGTATGCATTCCTAGATATATATTTTTTTTTGGAGAGGTTTTCGCTATGGGGCGCGTGCGCTCGCCAGACAGAGACATAGAGACAGAAAGCGAGAAATCACCCCCCAGGGGGGATGGTCACGCCACAATCCCTTCTCCTCCATTA